GCGCCATGCGGATTTGCGCGGCCTTGGTGGAAAGTGCGTTTGCGTGGCGCCGTGCCACTGGGGAGCGCGAAACACGCTGGCGTAAACGCGGCGCGTCGCTGGTGAGCGGGATGATTGGCGGTATCATGCGATAGGATGCTTCTAGTGCGTGGGCAGACCGTGCGGCGAAATACGTCCGTGATGTCGCAGTGCCACGCGGATTGCGCGGCCTTGGTGGGATACGTTTGCGCGGCGCCGTGCCACTGGGGAGCGAGAAACATGCTGGCGTAAACGCGGCGCGTCGCTGGTGAGCGGGATGATTGGCGGTATCGTGTGATAGGATTGCTTCTAGTGTGTGGGCAGACCGTGTGGCGAATTACGTCCGCGATGTCGCAGCGCCATGCGGATTTGCACGGCCTTGGTGGGAAGTCCGCTAAACACGATGGCGTAAACGCGGCGTGTCGCTGGTGAGCGGGATGATTGGCGGTATCATGCGATAGGATTGCTTCTAGTGTGTGGGCAGACCGTGTGGCGAATTACGCCCGTGGTCCGTGATGTCGCAGTGCCATGCGGATTTGCGCGGCCTTGGTGGAAAATGCGTTTGCGTGGCGCCGTGCCACTGGGGAGCGCGAAACATGCTGGCGTAAACACGGCGTGTCGCTGGTGAGCGGGATGATTGGCGGTATCGTGTGATAGGATTGCTTCTAGTGTGTGGGCAGACCGTGTGGCGAATTACGTCCGTGATGTCGCAGTGCCTTGGTGGAGGACACGCCCATTGAGGATCCTGGCACTGGAATCCTTGCTAGAAAAACTGCTGAAGAGTGGTCTGATGGGCAATGGACCACCTTTTTGTCCAACTGGCCGGAGCCATTTAGACAACATGATGTGACTGATTTTGCTCACCACCTTCTTCAGCAGCTGAACCCCAATTTCCTCAGCTGTTGTTGGGAATCCCGGGTGGAGCAGGACGGAGAGATCCGTGTGGTGGATCAGAGCGCCCTATGGCGCCCCTTGCACCTATACATCTGCAGTGAACAAAAGAATATCACGCTGCCTACTGACTTGCAAGGATTGATTTCAAGCTGGAGCATGGCTCCACGGCCTGACTGAACCGGCAGATGTCACATGTCTTCACATCGACCGCTTCGACTCGAGGGGTCGTGGATTCCCTTTTTCACGGACACCAAGCTGTGCATCGACCACATCCCCTACCAGGTCACAGCGGTCTCCTACCACTTGGGCTCTGAGCCAACGAGTGGTCACTACTGCACTGCCGTCCTCGAGGGTGAGTTTTGGTGGATCTTCGACGACGGCAACAAGCCGGAGAAGTTCTCAAAGGTGCCATTGGTGGTACAGGAGAACTGCTATCTCCTGTGGCTCAACTGCATGCCACACGGTGGTGCAGAACAGGTCTTTTTGATGGCTGAGGAATCGCCCATCCTGACGGATGAAGAGAAGCTGAACGACATCATCCATGACCCTTCCATCAACGAGGACTGGCACAACAAATGGCTGCAGGCAATTGACTGCCTGGATGCTGGAATCTTAGTGGACCCAGGACTTTGCCTTGTGGGAAGCATCCATCCCCTTGGCTGAGAAGTGTGCGGCGGACTTCATCACGAAGGCCCACCCGACGAGATGGTGTGCCTGCCAGCCATTCCATGGCACTGACCTGACTGAGGACCACCCGTGTCCATGCCTTCGCCAATTTGGCCTTTTGCATCTGGCTTTGAGGTCTAGCCAGCCAGTTCGAGCCAGAGACACGCTGGCCAAACTGCTGGACCGCACCTTCAGTAGCTAGCAGAGCTAGCTGCGCTGGCCGGCCCTACGGGGCCCAGACGGATCAATGCATCCACGCTGTCATCACTCGATGAGCGTATGGAAAGAAAGAAGAAGAAGAAGATGATGATGATGATGATGATGATGATGATGATGATGATGATGATATGATGATCATGATCATGTTGATCATGATGAAGATCATCTTTGTGCTTTTTTTTAAAGAGAACCCTTCACTCAGGCGCTCTCGGGAAAAAGGTTACTCTCAGCAGCATTTAGGCTCACACCAAAACTGGCCGCCTGCCAATGCCCCTCAATCGAAGCGAATCAGACAGCAGGCCTTGCAGGTGCTCAGCTCGGCCCACTCAAGGCTTCGAACAGAAAAACCGAGGCCTGGCATAGGTTTGAAAAGCGCAGGTACTAAGAGCGCATTCGCATAGAAGGTGTTGACCTCAGCAACAACGAGGGAAACGTTTCGCTTCCACTTTGCAAAATCAAGAGCAAGCGAGACCGACTTCCAAGCTATGCTAAAATGGAAATCAGAACTGCAGCTCAGGTAATTTAGACATTGCAAGCTCCAGACTCAAATGCAAACATGTGCAGTGCAAACTAGTTTCAGCCCAGAGACCTCCTCTGGATGAGCTCGTCCATCCTGGTCACTCTTCTTCTTTCTCCCCATCCGTTCAAACCTTTCCCTCTTTCTCTGTCCCTCTTCCTCTTACCCGCCTTCTCTTTCTCTCTTTTTCTTTATCTCTTTCTCTCTCCCTCTTTCTCTTTCCCTCTTTGTCCTTCCCTCCTTCTCTCTCCGTCTTTCTCTTCCCCTCTTTTCCTCTATCTCTCTTTCTTTTTTCCTCTTTTTATTTCCCTCTTTCTCTTTCCCCTCTTTCTCTTTCCATCCAATTCTCTTTCCCTCTTTCTCTCTCCCTCTTTCTCTTCCTCTCCTGTTCTTTCTCTCCTTCTCTTCTTCTCTTTTTCTTTCTCTCTTTATGATTCTCTGACCCTCTTTCTCCTTCCCTCTTTCTCTCCTTCTCTTTCTTTCCTTCTCTTTTTCTCCTTCTCTTTTTCTCTTTCTCTGTCTCTCTTTATGATTTACTCTCCGTCTTTCTGCTTCCCTCTTTTTCTTTTTATCTTTCTCTGTCTCTCTTTATGATTCTCTCTCCCTCATTATCTGTCCCTTTCTCTCCTTATTTTTTATCTTTATCTATATATCTTTATGATTCCCTCTCCATCTTACTCGTTCTCTCCTTCTAAGAGCTTTTTCTCTTTACTGTATCTGTCTCTTTCTCTCCTTCCCTTTCTCTCCTTCTCTTTTTCTCTTTCTCTCTTTATGATTCTCTCTCCCTCTTTTCTCCTTCCCTCATTCCCTTTCTCTCCCTCTCTTTTTCTCTCTCTATTTCTCTCTTTGTTATTAGCTTTCCCTCTCTCTCTTTTTGTCCACTTTTTCTCTTTCTTCTTCTGTTGTTATGATTCTCTCTCCCTTTTTTTTTTCCTCTTTCTGCTTCTGGACTTCTCTTTCTCTCTTTCTCTGTC